TATTCCAATAATCATAGTTAATTAATTGTTTTAATCTTTGTTCACCAGCCTTGCCCTGAAATACACAGGAATACTTTCGTTGAACAGGGCTATATCGAAAAGAAGATTCATTTTCAAAAAGAAAAACAAATATATTTTCTGGAAAAGCATTAATAGAAACTTAGTTTGTGCCTATTGAGTGCCTATTAAAACCAAGACGTTTCTTAATAAGAACAACAAATGCATCTTGGTAAAATGCGATTTGATCAAGAAGAGGTTGAGTAAGTAAGCAACGATGAGGTATAATTTTGTTATTTCGGTGCTTAGTTCCTTCATGGATTACGAGCTTTTTTCGGAAGAAAAAAATTTCTTGACAAAGTTGGCATTTACTGGCCATCGAAAGTTTTATCATTAATTATTGTTATTGTTATCGTTATATATTTTGCAAAATTTTTATTGGTCAATCAATTTTTTAGATATCACAAATTCGCAAACATCACATTTGAGTTTTGGTGATATAATCGAATGGAAATAAATCCGCCCATATGCAATTTTGGTGCGCAGCTAGGTCCAATCGTAGAAATCCATTGTCTATAATTCTGGTCAAAATTGCAGATCATTTGACCCAATTTAAAATTGGGTTGCAAATTTGATCAGAATTATGAACAATAGGATTTCTCTACTTATCAGATGATGCAGTTCTGCCGATAAAACTATTTATTAGTCAGGATATTAAATAAGGTAGCTGCGCGACACCAGGAACGTAAATTTATGAATGAGCCAAAGATTTTATGCAATACAAGATTTCAGGCTTTGAATTTTCAAGGCGAATTGATTTAATTATAAATTTAAAAACCTGAAGTCTAGTTTTCTTTTAATAGTACTCGAATACAAACAAAAGGCTATCACTTTGTTTATTGCTTTTGTACATTTAAGCCACATGCTGTTCTTAATAGCCACGCGCAAAATATTTTGATTCACTAACATGGCTCATTCTTTTTCAAAGCTTAATAGCCACGCACAAAATATTTTGATTAAAGTCTTAGAGGATCTGAGTTTTGACTTTCTCCGGGAGTTTCAACTTTACCAGAGTTTCGCCAGAGTTTGCCGGGTTTAGTTTCGTCTTTCGCCATTTGCCAAAAATAGTTTCGCCTAACAACAGTAATCCAGATCTAAATTTATTCGGATATCCGTTTTACTATTGATATCCGGATAATTATCCGAATATTTGTCAGATTATTCGGATATCAATAGTAAAACGGATATCCGGATAAATTCAGATGTGGATAAATGGACGCGGATTTATCCGGATTGGGACTCTAATTTTAATTATATAAGACATGCAATTCCTTTGTCCTGAAACTAAAATTTCGAAATATATATATTTTATCTCATTAACTCAATTTCTCAATATCTATCATATTTCTTATCTATTAATTTAGAACTAATATAAAATCAACGTTAATCGAATAGAAATCGGAAGAAAATG